GGGGTGGGTGGGCAGGCTTGAGAGACAGACAAGGGACCCCTTTGGGATGCAGGCGTCAGGAGGGTGTTGAAGTTAATAAAGATCAGTAAGGAGTAAGCTAGTGAATGTTTTCCCTTCAAAGATTTCCAGGCAAGATTATCAGCTGAGAGAAGTCCCTGACTACATCAGAAGGTGAATTGTCCTGGTTTTAGGTGTCTAAAGGTTGTGTCTGAGCTGATAGTCCAGGTGCTCTCTACTGTTGTTGGGGAGAGGCAAGTATATACAGAGTGTAATTCATTCCATGCTGACATGAATGCTTTAAATAAACATGTATATGCCTGCCTCTCCCTTGATGGAAGAGGGAGCCCAGATATTTATCTTAGATTAAATGCCCAGCCTTATCTAAAATTAGGTCTGGACCTGGCTGAAACCAGTTAAAGCTGCCGTTTGGTGAGGCTTATCCAGTTAGGTGGATGCATGCTCAGCTGTTTCTTAGCCAGGAGCTGTGGAGCCAGGAGCTCCAGCAGTGTAGATTCACTAGTGCACCTTTCTGACACTGCTGTTTGGCCCTGTACTACCTCTTAGGGCTATGGCTGCGCAATCTTCTGTCTGCAAATCTGTTTGTGCTGCCCATACTCCAAACAGCAGTAAGCCAGCCAGAAGACATGTCACTGCATTGGCATTGCACCTTCATTGGTAAGCCCTGGGCTAAGAGGCTGGCCTGAGGACAGTGCCACACTCATATCGTTCCACAGTGTCTGGTTCGACGCTGCTACATGTCAGTCCAGACAGTAGCATGAGCGTAGTGAGCTGAACCTTTTGAGCAGAAGACCAAACCGTTAGATGGTTGATACTGCTGAGAGGGCCTGACTCTTTTGCTCATTAGAGGTCCTCTGCAGCTCTGATAAGAGGAGGGATATGCATCCTGACAGTTGGTCTAAGCTTCCACTTAGGTCTTTGTGGGGTCTCTCAAGTTCCAGTTCTTGCTTTACATCTAGATGGGTGCAGAGCTCCTGAGCATCAAAGCTCTGTGCTTTGTAACATGTCCCGCTAAGTGGATGATGAAAGAATGATACTTTACCTGTGCTTAGCTTCATCTCACTCTTGCATTCAAGGTGAGAGATTGAGCAGGCCAGGCTCTCCCAAAAAGAAATAGGATAAATTTTTTTTTAGAGAAAAGGAGAGCCAAACACACAGGACAGAAACACACTGTGTCTGGAAGAGACAGTTTCCTGAATAGAATTTTGACACTGAACTCATAGGGAAGATTGCTGTGGTTGAGAGCTGGTTCTGATTTTTTTTCTTTTCTAGGTTCTGCCAAGCAGCTGCTATTCTGGGGCCCCATGGACTTCATAGTCAGTAACCCCCCATATGTCTTCCATGAAGACATGGCTTACTTGGACACAGAAATCCTCCGGTAATCAGACAAAAAGATTTTTCTTCTCCTGTTCCTTGAAGGAAGGTTTTCTGTCTGCTTCCTTATACTACACACAACTGCACACAAACCATGCAAATATAGTGTATATGTACATAGTGTAGGTGTGTTTATATGGTATATAATAATACAGTGTTACTTTGATTTGATACTGCTTACAGGTCTGAAACAATACCAAACTATTTTAAATATTTTTATAAATGGAGAAAGCACGCACATTGAAATTAATGTTTCCAGTCCAAAAAACTGTTTCAGAACATTTCTCCTGTTAGTCTTTCTTGTTTTTTTTTTTAATAATTGGTGTAAGTTTATGAAAGGAAGTACAAATAATCTGAGCAGCTTTTTGTCATGGAGAAAAAACTTAGGTGGACATGCTATGATCCATTCTTATCCCAATAATTTTCTTAAGCAAACCAACCCACACAAACATGAATAAACTCTTTTGGGATGTGGAACTACTTGTGTGTGCTGGTTCTTCCCTGGAACTGTCACGTGCATCAGAACAAAGTCCCACACCCACCTCTGTACAAGTGTGCACCAGAGAAGATTTTGAAAGCTGAGCTTTCTACATCCTAATTTGCTCTGCTAGGTTAGAAGGCACTCTGACCTGTTTTTTGGCATGGCTGAAGTAAAGCAAGTGATCCCTTGCTGTGCAGCCCACTCTCTCCCTGTCTAGCTAGCACAGAGAAAACAGTCACGTGTTGGAACTGTGTGACCCTGGCTGCATTTGGCTCATAATTTTCAGGAAGAGTTCAGGGTATGTTTTCTGTTTATGCTCAACATGGAGTTTCCCAGCCTAGTGGTAGCTGCCTTCTTACTCCCTGTATTTTACGTAAAAACCATGAGTGCTGTCACCTGCTGTAGGAGTACTGGAGTTCAGGTGTGTTCCCTGCACCTTTCTCCATCCTCAAGGGTGCGGCTCATGCCACATGACTGCTGTTAATGTTTTCCCATTCCCACACTCCAGCTATGAGGACCTTGATGCACTGGATGGGGGAGATGATGGGATGAGAGTAATCAAAACAATTCTGGCTCTGGCTCCTTCTCTTCTGAAGGATTCTGGGTAAGCACTGTCGTCTGAGTTTCATGTTTTCTGTCCATTCACTTCTGTAACTTCTGTTTCCATTTCACACAAGAAGGTACAGAGGGATGATAGTTGCAAAAATGTGGTGTGTGTCCTGCCCCTCCCCCCAATCTAATAATAGAAGTTTTTAAAATGTCGTGTGTGTAAGAAAAATTATCTTCCAGTGGATTAATAAAGGGATACGAGCCTTCCTTGACCAGTTGTGGTGTTTCATAGTCATTACTGAAGTGAGAATCTTTAAAGGTCAAAGCAGCAACAAAAAGAACATGAAAGAAAGCAGCGGGGGGGGGGGGGGGGGGGG